CATGGATTTGCTAGTCTCATGAAATCATATTTTCCTACTTAGGTGTTGTGGCTTGGATGTTATTTTAAAAGCCTTCTTTAGCACCATCACAGGCCACAGGCATTGATGGCACATCTTCTACTTTCACATCTGTCATAAAGTTTATGTCACCTAAGAGGCACCATATTTGCAAGTCTTTACTGTAGACAGTTGGCACTCATAAAACCACCCAACCGTCAACAAATAAAAATAATCCATAGCCTAGTGTCAGTATGTATGCATTTTTTGACCAATTGCCATAACTATATTTACAATTAACAAACAAGTTCAACTAAAAATTGTAACACTTTCACACACACACACACACACACACACATTCCTTTGATACCTTTTATATTCTTTGAAACATGACCCTTGGCGGCCCAGTGGTCAAGTGGTTAGCGCAACGACCTCACAGTGCAGAGTTCGTGGATTCGCTCCCGGCTCCGGCCTTCGTGTTTGGAGTTTGCATGTCCTCCCCGGGCCTGCGTAGGTTTTCTCCGGGTACTCCGGTTTCTTCCCACATTCCAAAAACATGCATGGCAGGCTGATTGAACACTCAAAATTGTACCTACGCGTGTGTGTGTGAGCGCGGATGGTTGTTCGTTTCTGTGTGCCCTGCAATTGGCTGACAACCGGTTCTGGATGTCCCCTGCCTACTGCCCAAAGACGGCTGGGATAGGCTCCAGCACCCCCTGCTATCCTTGTGAGGATAAAAGCGGATCGGAAAATGGATGGATAGATGGTTGAAACATGAGCTCGACTTTAACAGCAAAATTGACATAGGATTTCATTTCGGAATTCGCTTTCAATTCCATACGTATGTGTTGTGACATATGATGACTTATTAAAAAAAAATCTATCGATGGGACTGTAGTAATTGAGTGAACTGTGTGATGGACACCATTCAAAGTAACCTCATTGTGAACTGTGTGATGTATAGAATTCAAAGTAATCTAAATTTTACTTTGACATAGAGAAGTGTGTTTGAAGATCAGATGGTATTTTTGGAGCTTAGCATCCCGGTAAATACTTAGCCTACCCACGTGACCTTTACCCCAGTCAATTTCAACTTTGTCTTTCATTTCAAACAGTTGGATAATCCCAGACATTTTTGAGATTTGGTGGTTTATATTAGAATTACTTCATTGTTTTTGGCAACATCAAAAATCCAGCAGAGGGAATGTTTAGAGATGATAAAACTCACAGATTATCTCAAAAGAGATTTGAAGTGCACGCATATATAGATATCAGTGAGTAGGCATTCTTAGCACAGTCTCTTTAATATAATATACACATGCACACACATCCATTTTCCGATCCGTTTTATCCTCACTAGGGGCGCAGACTTGCTGGAGCCCATTCCCAGCCATCGGCGGCCGGTCGGGAGGATACACCCTTAACTTGTTGCCAGCCATTCGCAGGGCACACATAGATGAATAACCATTCACACTTATGGACAATTGAGAGTGTTAAATAGACGTACCATGCCAGTTTTTGGAATATGGGAGGAAGTCGGAATACCTGGAGAAAACCCATGCAGGCACAGGGAGAACATACAAACTCCTCACAGGGAGGCCAGAGCCGGAATCGAACCCATGACCTCCACACTACTTGCACTCACTGATCAGCAATGACTCATTAAAGCACTTACTCTGGTCGTTCCCAGTGTAGATTTGGTTCCTTAGTTCAACTGTTGGATGAGCTTGCCTTCTTTGCCCCCAAATCCATCTGCTGCTGTGTTGCTGAGACTGTCTTAAGAATGCCTACTCACTCATATCCAACACTGTCAAACTCAAACTGCCGTCAAAGACTTCAAAGCAGTTATGGCCTTTCGTGTGTGTGGTCTTGGTGTACTTTGAGACATCATGCACATGATGCTAAAATTCTTTACATAAGTATGATGTGCCACTTTCAAATTTTTTGGGGGGTAAGGGTCAAAAGTTTGTTTATAGCTGGTACCCTGGGGATGGCATGTAAAATCACAGCCATTGCTTTCAATCAGATGTTAAGAGAAAACGGACTGGGATTTTTTTTCACAATTGAAAAGATTTTTCAGGTGATTTAATTAAAGGTCTCTGACCGTCCATCCCTCCATCTTCATCTATTTCCTGACCCGCTTTATCCTCACAAGGGTCGCAGGCGGTGCTGTCTTAGGGCAGTTGGCGGGGGATTGAACTGGTTGCCAGTCAATTGCAGGGCACACAGAGATAAAAAAAACCATCCACGCTCACACTCACATCCAGGGACAATTTAGAAGGTTCCATGAACCTGCCATGCATGTTTTTGTAATGTGGGATGAACTGGAGTACCCGGAGAAAAGCTACACAGGCACAAGGAGAGCAAACTCCACACGGGAGCATAGAGTCTAAAATACGAGGTGAACAGGAAAAGAGTAGCTCAGGCCACACATTTTTACTCGTGAAAGCATCACTTCATCACCAAGCCGCCTCACTGTCATGTTGTGTGTACATCTGTGCTAGTGGTATGTTTAGTAGACGCATGGTTTTGATGTCCAGTGGAATATCTTGATGAGTTTTTTTAGTTCGTTTTAGTTTTCAGTTTGCCAGCATGTTTAGCTGCCCGTGCCGGTAATTTGTGTTAAACTATAGTTCACTTGTGGCTCCTGGATTAGTTCATTCTTCTGTCTGCTTTAATTAAAATTGCAATGCAACTGAAACCATAGTTGCCTTACCAGTATAACAGTTAGCACAAATTCAATTTCGCACACAATTACATCAAGTGGCAACTATCTATCGCTACGTGCTACTAGCTACAAGCTAGTACTTTATTGCGGGTGACCCTGAGGAAGAATAATCAAAGTACATGGCACGGTAGTCCCATGGTCTGATTTTTAGACTCCAGGCCTAGAATAAGAGGTTCAATTAAGGATAAATCTCAACCAAGTATGTTTTTAACTCATTCAGTACCAGCCAATTCTAGACCAAGTCTGAAAAGACGTTTAAAACGTCTTTGGGAGTGAATGAGTTCATCATGATATGGGTTTATTGTCACATCATTCTTTAGTTTTAGATTTAGTTTCAACATTATCATCAATGTTTTGTAGTTTGTCTTGTCATTGTTTTTGTGAGGGTGGTTCTGTTTGTGACCAACAGGTGGCACTGTAGGGCTCTTCCTGCAGTGACACACCTGTTGGTCATTGTGTCATTAGTTCGTGTTTCTGTAAAAAGGACTCCCTGCCCGGCCTGTCGAGGTTGCGTCATTGTGTTTTATCACCGTGTTTGTCTTTGTGTCCGCCTTAGTTTGTATTTTTTGATAAATACATTTTGGTCGGTCCACCCTGCTCCTCCCTGCATCCCTGCTTTTTGGGGTCCTCTACACTACCATCATTTTCAAGTCCTGACCCTGTATTGTAGACTAGAGCAGTGTTTTTCAATCATTTTCGAGCCAAGGCACATTTCTTTCACTGAAAAAATCCCGCAGCACACCACTAGCTGAAAATGTGAAAAAAAGCTTTTTAACAATTCAAGTATTATGTTGTTATTATACATATTTTTTAACATTGAAGAATAACGTTATATTATAACATCTTGAATAGGAATCAAATAAACATAAATCAAATATTTTATCTTTTATATTTATTCTCACTCGGTGTGATAAATGGTTTGGATGAACACAGATCCGATATCCTGGCAGCAATCGATGAAAGACAAAGCTCTTCCACGACAGCTCTTTGTTTCTAGTTTTTACAGCAGTCTGGCTATTTCTTTAGCCGCTTCAGATGTGAACATCTCATTTACAATGGCTTTGCAGGCGGGAAGTATTAATTGCTCTCCCACTGGGATTTTTTGATTCAGCCACAAGTTCAGTATCATGGTAACTTGCTTTCAGGGCTCTCTCGTTTACCTTTGCGGTTTTTCTCATGCATGTTACTTGTTTCTCCCTGTATTCACGCAGGCGAACAAAATACTCCACATTTTTGTTTCGAAGTGAAGGGTGGGGCTCCAGAGATTTTTTTGTAGGGCTCGTTTGCCTCCAACTTGTCATGATTCGGTTTGGGACCAACAGGTGGCACTGTAGGGCTCTCCCTGCAGCTGCACACCTGTTGGTCATTATGTAATTAGTGCTTTAAAAGGACTCCCAGCCCAAACATTTAGTGCCGGGTCATTGTTGCTGTTTGTTGGCTGCTGTCATGTTTTGGTCAGTGTTATGTTTTATCTTCAGTCATGTGTTTTGTTTGATACTTTGGACTTTGTTTGTTTTGGATTTAGTTTTCTCTATGTTTTAATACAATTCTTCAAGTACACACTGCTCCTCCCTCCTGCCTGCTTTTTTGGGGTCCACCACCTCGCAACGTGACACAACTTTTGGTAGATCTTGGGTGAAACTTTCAACCAGAGTGCATTCCTTAAAAATCTGTAGGGGCACAACGATGCCATTTTTTTCAGTCAAGCAAAAACAAATAAAATATTATTTTGCCAATCATGCTGTATGTGCAAAGTTTCTCCGAATGGTAAGATCAGCGATTTCAGTGTTGTTTTTTTTAGTTGGGAAACGTCACCACAGCAACAACATTAGACAAAATAAAAAGCGTAATTTCTACTTTTCATCTTGACCATCTTTACCTGGAAACACCCAATTTCAAGACAATTGGATAAAATCTATAGGAGGAATTCTTTAAAATGTGACCTCTAGAGAAGGCCAAAAAATGAGGGCAAATTTGAAAGGAGATTCAAAAAGTTAGACTTGCGATTAGGTTTAGCATATGGCTCCGTGATATATATTTTCGTCCGTCTTGGGCTGTTATATATGCCTCCAACTTTTCTTCCATGGTTACAAAACATACAACACGGCCGGTTTTCTCAAAAAAATGTCAGGGTGCTCACCTTTTTTTTTTTTTTTTAACTGCACAATAAACAAGTATTTTGTTTGGCAGTGACCGCCATAGCGGTCACTGCTCCGGCCTTACTGGTGTAAAAACTGTGTGAGAAGAAGTAATTTAATGTGATTTGTCAAAAAAAAAAAAAAATCATACTATTGGAGCAATTCTTTTCTCATACAAAAATAAAACTTTGTTTTTCTACAATGTGTGACTGTTGAGTCCCACTATACATCAAACAAAAGGCTATGATTAAACAGCAAAAGCAAACACTTTACAAGAATAAAAAAAATAGGTGGGTTGGGGAGAGGCACAGGCTGCATCAATCTTGCATTCATGGTGGAGTTTTTTGTTCCAAAGAGAACTGTTCAGTTGTTGAATCCACTGACAAAGAAGCGGGGCTTTCTTCATCGTCACTGTCTTCCTGTCCTGGTTCTTCGTCCTGAAGTTCGGATGTTGATGTTGCTGTAGAAATCAAACTGCTACTTATTTAGGGAACACATTTCACATCAAATAAGCCAAGGGTCCTCTGTAACAATACAAGTATATGATCGGCACGTAAAAGTTCATCAACACGTGACACAGGAAGCATGCTACTGCCAACCTTACTTCTTGTTGACCTGATTGTGTTTTATTTATTTATTCGTTTTTAATTCATGTCTTGTACTTATGACATTATTGTTGTGTTAGCGTAGGCTAGTAATAGATACGTTTAGTTTTTGTCATGTCTGCGATCTGCTTTTTTTTTTCTTTTTTTTTTTTTACAAAATTAAAAAACTGATGAACATCCTCCAGGACTGGCGATTCATTCATTTTAGCCAGGGTTGTACAATAATATGTGATCCTTTAGTATACATTGCTTTTGTATATTCTCTTGGCAGATTTAAATTACATTTAATTACATAATAAATATTGCCTTACCCTGCACACTGCCAGTTGTTAAGTCCCGAATTCTTTTATTATACCTTTTTTTGCCCTACAGTTGGTGGAAAAAAAGCACATGTAATGCTCTAGTATAAGCTGCAGAGTACAAGAAAAAGAATTGTCTAATTTTGTAGTTTGGTACATTGGGGTATGCAAATGAGTCAAACCCACGTAGTTGTGACGGCAGGACCAGTCTGGATGCTGCTGGGAGTGAAGCCGCTTTTCTTTTTCAGCCAGCTCGTAGAATTTAGCTTTCTCCTCCTCTGGTAGCAAATGCCACTGTGTTGACGTAACACACAAAATAACACACAAACAATTCCATCATATTCAGCGCAGTTTCATCTGAATACGACATTCATTAATTCTGTGGACAAATACATCAATGAATGCATTTTCTCCAAAGCTAGGTTCCCGATTTCATCTTTTTTTTCTCATAATAAAAATTAATCATTCATTGTATTTAAATCAGAGGTGCCCAATATCCCCAAATGACTGGATGTAACGACCTGAAGGCAGCAAACAGATGTGCAGTGTGTGTGTGTGTGTGTGTGTGTGTGTGTGTGTGTGTGTGTGTGTGTGTGTGTGTGTGTGTGTGTGTGTCTGTGTGTACGTAGTACGTACATTAGAGTCACTTACCATCTTTCCTAAAGTCTCATTTATAACAGCAATATTCGTTGAGGCAGATCTGTCCTTAACTGCTTGCCTATGCTCTTTTGAGAACAACATGAAAGCATTTAGAGGCTTCTTGACATATGTTTGCTCCGTGTATTGGTCGTCTACTTTTTTAGGTTTCTTCCTAAAATAGAACATGGCAATTTGAGTTTGTGAGGTCATTAGGAGAAAAATCAGTTTATTGTATTTCCACAAATCCAAAAATCCAACCCCAGAATCCCCACCGCATTTTTTTTGAATGCCACCCCACAGAAAGGAGCTCCCAGTTTTCCTTCATAAAAAAAAAAAAATCCTGGTTCAAATACGTGTATTTATACAAGTGTAGCTATGTTTCCAGTGAGCGGTACAGTTCAGTTTGCTGTCCATACAGAGTCCATACAAAATGAACGGGCTGGTAGACTGCGCCTGCAGCGTGGCTAGCAGCCAGACTACTGTGACATCACCCGAGCTGCCCTGATCGACCGCCTGGCCTGCTTTACAAAAACCAAGGCATAAGATCGATCATTATCTGAACTGCTTTATCCTCACGAGGGTCGCGGGTGTGCTGCAACCTATCCTAGCTGTCTTTTGGGCAGTACATTGTGTACACCCTGAACTGATTGCCAGCTAATCGCAAAGCCCATAGACAAACCTTTCACACTCACAATCATACCTACGGACAATATAGAGTGATCAATTACCTACCCTACATGTTTTTGGAATGTGAGAGGAAACTGGAGTACCCGGAGAAAAGCCACGCAGGCACGGGGCTAACATGCAAACACACACAGAAAGGTAAACGGCTGCAAATGAAATAGCAAGATCTTACTTTGGCTTGGAGATGGTGGGTGGAAGAGGAGCTGTAAAGTTTGCGGTTGTAACTTTGTACAACAGTTCTCCATTCCTTCACAAATTGACACAGTAGACATGATTAGCAAGTGTTCTAATATTTCAGTATCGCTAATGCACTATTGCATTACTTACAGAAGACCAACAGGACACATTTTCATGCCATTAGGCAACATAACCTCTGGTACAAAATTTGTCTAAAAACATACAGAGAAATGCAACTGTTTCAATGGAACGATAACACAACTGCAAGTGAAGTATTTCTCTTCCATGCAGATTCCCTTAAAACTACAAAGCTAAATTGATGACAATTATACCTGTCCAGGAATGTGCGGACGTGCCTCAATGTTCTGCGTGATAGGTTGAATATTCTGATGGCTCATTGGTACAAAATGCATACTGGGTGGAGCCATGACTGGATTTGGCTGCAGGAAACCGTTCTGTAGAGGTACATAACTGTTTTGTAATGGAATAAAGCCATTAAAACCTAGGCTCTGGCCTACTGGCCGAGGGTTTGCGCTGAAGACTGGCGTCGCAGTTCGAGATGGTAGAGCAGCGTTTGGAGGTATACGGTTGGAGGTAAAACCTGACATGTCCTTGTCTCTGTATAAAAAAAAGACAAAAAAAGAAGAAGAGAACCACCACCTCAGTTGTTATATGCAATGAAAACCTTAGCATGCATGGTCAGTGCTCGTGTGATATTTAAACAGTGATAAACATTATTCCAACACCTGAAGACAATGCCTGGGATTATTTGGCTCTTGTGACACATATTGAGAAGGAGATGATTTTCTGTTGGCAATAACACACAATCATATTGTCATTAATACTATTATTTACTGAATTAATTTTCTTTAGATACAGTTGAACTCATCATCATTTCAAGAAATTCTTTATATCACATCCTCGTTGAATTCGGTAGTAACCTAACCAACAAATGGAACAATTACCAGTTCACCGTGAGCTCTACTGAGCACTCTTCTCGTTTTACATGAAAATGTTGGCAAGGTGGTATATTTATCGGGGTACTTACTCAGGTAGTTCCCAAAGTAACACACGTACCTTCCTTATATGTTGACGCAATGGTGACGCAAGTTTAATTTTCTCGCCTTGTCTCGTTCATGACGTGTTCAACGTTTCGATGCCCTCTGTATCACACATTGGACTGCACACTGCGCATTCAACACACTCATGACACAGCTGTGATGTCAGAGACATCAAAACAGTATTGGTCTTTTATGTGAGTTTTGGGATGCTTTAGGGCATCACCTTAGACGATGATGAATCCGACGCATCACTGGACCTGATCATGTCAATGATCATACACAACATTGCAAGATGATTTACATTCGGCATAACAATGCATTCATCGTGCATCAGTCATGCGGACCTGAAATCGCGATGGCCAAATGAGGGCCCCCTGAAGCTGATGACTTTGCTGAGGGGTTCATCGTTCGAAGTCTTTCATTTACACTGGAGCGTTTAAAAAGGTCTGCAAAGGAGTTCCGTTTCTATTGTGAAGTCGCCTGAATTTGAGAGCAAGTACCAAACGTGCCATATTATTTAACTATCACTGACGTACAGCATAGTCTAAATTAATGCCACATAGGAAAAGACACAATTTCAGTAAATGTTTGGATAAGAAAGACTTCACCGGGTCATAAATACAAAGCAATCAAATTAAAGTAAGTGAGATTTTAATGTTGTCTTGTTTTTTTTTCGTAGTTTATGAGCAGCTTAATATGTCAGTACCATTGCATTGTGTTCTCCTCAAACCCCTTAATAAAACATATCAAATATAAATATGACATAATTTTAACATAGTTTGACTTCGAAATCCATTGAAGGAGGCAGTGGTGGTGTGGTCACATGTCAAGTGTCAACAAGGAAGAGCAAGTAGTTTTTCAAACGATTCCTCACAACTAGCTTCATGATCATGCCAGTTGCAGCCAAATAGAGGATGTCTTGTCTGGTGCTCTCACAATAAATGTCAATGCACCTCTGTGACCACAGTAGTGCACCCTTGGGGAATAGAAACTTCCACCATGAACCTTCAGAGCTCACTGTTGTGGAGACACCGTGTTTGTGTCTTTTCTCATGAAATGGTTTTCAACACAGGCCTCGTCTCTGCAGCCTGATTCCATGACTTCACAAGGTCTTGAACAGTAGGTACATCGATCTTGGCAATTCTTTTCTATTTTTTGCCCCAGTGAATGCCAGTCTCTTCCTCTCACAGTTTGAGATTTGAGTTCAATGCAATTGTGGATGTTCATGCCACCCTTGACTTGCACACTGGCTTCCAAATCTTTTGCATTACCTCTTGCAACTGTGACATCTCCAAGACAGTTCTCAAAGTGACAGTAACCAAGACATCAAAATTGAAGGTCTTGGCTGTGAAAAATGCTGCCCAAACACAAGCGCCCCGGGGCTGCCCAGCACCGACAGTCAAATATATTTGCATATATATACAAATATGTACATATGCTTTGAACACCTCTTGTAATTGTAGAGGCCAAAGGTAATGTCTTAATCTTGAGATTTCTGAATAAATTAGGTTAAATATGTCCGCATGATTTCCTTTTCTTTTTATCCATGTTTTTTTTTTTGTTTGTTTTTTGGGTGACTGTATACATTTATTCTTCTGCTTTTGAAACTGGAAGAAAAATGCAGCCCTTGTCTTTCCCTTAATTACACAATAAGATTTACACTGCAGTGGTCAATGTCATATTTTTGTTTGTTGGTCTTAAATTAAAACTGAAAGATGACTTCTTGATTGTTTTGTTCGCTCTCCTTGACGTCTGCAACGTCAGTGGCGGCCCTCATTACTGTTCAGCGTCAATTGACTTTCATCAGAGAACAGCACTGAGTCCCACTGGTCCCTTGTACAGCATAAATCCTCCCTGGCCCGTGCAAGATGCCGCCGCCTGTGCCAGGTGGTGCAGTCAGGTACCCTTGTAGGTCAACCACGCTGATTTGAACGGTCTGATGTGACACTTCGGTGCCCCTCACTTCCCTTCAACGTGCCTGGAGTTGAGTGGCATTCATCATCCGGTTTCTCAGGGCATTGTTCATCAGCATGGGGTGTGGCCAAAGGACGTCCACTTCAACATCTTTCTGTGACACTTCGAGTCTCTCGGTATCTCTGTTGCAAACTGCTGAAGACACTCTGTGACACTCAAAGCTTTACTGGCCACTTCCATCTGAGAACGTCCTGTTTGAAGCATCACAATGGCAAGGTACTGTTGGATCCATCGTGAGGTGTCATCCTGGTCTGATGATGCCAAAATGTGGACAGCATATGAGGACGACGACTGTTTAAACACCAGCTCTAATTGAACCAGAACATTTATTGGTCGATTTAAGGATCAAACGGCTATTGTTTTGTCGTTAAGATCCTCGTTAGAGAACAGCAACTTGTGCAAAAAGTACTGGAACATTTAACATTTGGACATGTGCATTCAAGAACTTCGAGAAGGTCACATGAAGTTCACCTGTAAAAACTTTGAATGCATTTTACGCTCATCCTGAAATTTCACTGGAAAGCCAAATAACTTTTTGTGAATAGTGAGTGTATGTAAAATGTTTGCAGGAGAAAAAAAATAAGCGCAGATTGTGGACATTGTAAATGTTTCAGTATCGGGTAAGATATTGGCTCTGAGTCATTCAGTCAATTGTCTTCCAGTGGCAGAAACGTGGCTTGTGCATCAAAATCTTCCCGTTTGGTCAGGGGAGAATGTGCACAATTAAAGTCCATCAAGAAATCAACAGTCCGGAAGGAACCTTGACGACGAATGCTTGGGCGATCGGGACGGAGGGTGGGTAATCATCTGGTTCAAGGCAGGTGGCTGTTTCAAGTATATCTGGGAAATATGCTCTTCAAGGGAGAGTTCTACTGTTGTTGAACTCAGAGACAAGGAGTCAGCGTCATCATCCTCAAAATCTGTCTCGGCTTGTCCACTTCCCTCCTCAACCTCTGGCACCAGCGCTGCTATAAATACCAAAGTTTGGCTTATTTCATTTCACAACTTCTTTTTCATACAAGGAAAATCTGAGGAAAATCAATTCTCCTCTCTCTCTCTCTCTCTCTCACACACACACACACACACACACACACACACACACACACACACACACACACACACACACACGCACACGCACATGCACACACACACACGCACACATCTTACCCTGCACACTATTGGCATCTGGCTCAATAATGTGGTCACAGTCTTCCTTTTTGCCCTTCAAAACAACACAAAAACAGTGTTTGCCAAATGTATTGATAGGATGTAGCAATAAGTCACACTTACATAATTGTGCCTCCAAGACCAATCTGGATGCTGCTGGGAGTGCAGTCGCTTGACTTTATCAGCCAGCTCGTAATATTTGGCTTTCTCTTCCTGAGGTAGCAAATGCCACTATGGATTGGTCATAAGATATTCATTATTAGCATACATCGCTTTTGTTGTGCATATGCTCACATCCAACCACACAGAACACCAGGACGCTAGTTATGTAGTTCAAACATACATTGAATTAGATGAGTATACAGTGGATATAAAAAGTGCAATTGGTTGGCAACCGGTTCACGGTGTCCCCCGCCTACTGCCCGGAGACGGCTGGGATCGGCTCCAGCATCCCCCGCGACCCTTGTGAGGATAAAGCGGATCGGAAAATGGATGGATAGATGTTGTAAGTTTCAGTCGCAGCTTTAGAAAAAACAGCCCCAACGTATCATTCTGCTACCAACACGTTGTACTGTAAGTACCGGTATTGTGTTTTTCAAATGATGAGTAAATGTTATGTCGATGCCAAACACACCTTTTGGAATTATAGCCAAAGAATGTAGGTTGATTTTACTTTGTATATCCACTGCACTTCATTGATTATGATTAACTTTGTTTGATATCACGTGAGCGGTTACACTTACCATTCTTCCTAGGATCTTGTTTATATCGGCACTGTTTCTTAAATGAGAATGGTGCCTAACAGCTTGTCGATGTTCCTTCATGAACAACATAAAAGCATTTGGCGGCTTCTTGACATACGTTTGATCTGTTTTTTTGTTGATCTTCCTAAAATTCGAAGAAGTAATCACAGCATGCAAAGCATCTTAGTGAAATTGTGAGGACACGTAGAGACAGAGAGAGAGAGAGAGAGAGAGAGAGAGAGAGAGAGAGAGAGAGAGAGAGAGAGCACAATATATAACTATAATTTATCTGAGAGAGAGCGAAAATCTTACTTAATCCTCGGGATGGTGGGTGGAAGAGGAGCAGCATAGTTAGGAGCTGTAACTTTATACAACAGCTCTCCATTCCTGAATAGTAGACAGAAACATATTACGGGATACAGCACATTAAGATATTGCCTAATTCACCATTGAACAAGGTTGACAAACAACATCACATGTATTTTAAATAAAGTTAACAACTTGACCAATCAATTATTGTTCATTTTGAGTCATGCTAACCCGTTTTGAACTATTTATAGCATTTTAGAAGGGGCATTCTTTCATAGAGATCATCCATGGTTCTTGTCATGTGCACCTGTGAATAAGCAGCCCATTTGAAGCAGCTCCACTAACTTTTTCCTTTTATACATTTTCCAATCTATATTCTTTTTGCATATTGCTCATCATTTACACTTTTTTTTTTAATTGTAATTTATTTTAGCCGTGTTTTTCTGGGATGCCAGAACCATGAGGAGCTTCACCCCAGCCAAAATCCGCTCAGTGCGAAATGCATCCATCAGGAGTTATGGAGAGGTATGAGAGCCGGCACAGAAACTGAGTAAAGTGAAGCAAGAGGGAAATCTCAATGGGAGAGATTTGAACCATTCTTTTTCTCTGTGAGTGACTTGCCAATGGACTAGGGTGACCACACCCGTTGCCATCGGCTGGTCATAGGGGGCTGTGCCCGCACACCAATTGCTTGTGCCCCCAACCGTGAAAAACCAAATGCAGTGCCTACCATATTTTCCTCACAAGGAGCCAAAATTCCAACGAGTGAAAACCATGGTAAAAGAGGACGTACAGTATATGTGACATGAAGTTTAACTTTACAGGTGGTATTACTTACAGTAGTCCAACTGGACGCATGTTCAGTCCATTAGGTAACATCACCTCTGGTACAAAGTTTGTCTGCAGGCAGAAACACACAGAACCGGAAGTGCATGACAAAAGCTCTAGATGCTTCAACTGTGGCATCATGACTCAATAATTTAGCCATGTTAGCATACTGTAGGGACCTATCACACCCACCCAATGGCTCACTCTTCCCAGACTCATGCCTGATTCAACAAATTAATCACTCTCACTTTAAATCACACACACACACGCACACACGAAAACAGCTACCAGTACTCAAAAACTGTAATTTCAACCTACCTGGTCAAACACCTGAGCAAGTGTCTCTGCGTTCTGGGGATGCGGTTGCACATTCTGATGAGTCATTGGGACAAATTGCATTCTGGTGGCAGCCATCATTGAACTTGCTTGCATATAACAATTTTGTATGGGAACGAACCCATTAAAGCCCCTACTCTGGCTGGCAACTGGTTGTGGGTTGGCGCTGTACCTTGATCCAGCAGGCTGAGCAGGATTTTGAGGTAGACCTTTTGATGTGAAACCTGACATTTCCATTTTCTGTAAAGACAAATCACCCGCCTGCACCAAAATACTATATTAGTTTCTTCAGAAGAAAGTATCAACAACTAGAAATTCAATGTCACAGATGACTGCATGGAATTGACGATCTTCCAGATCGTTAAATCGTTGTCATTTTATTGTGTGACCGATAGTAATTTCGCACATAAAGCAACAATGGTATCGTAGCTGTTTCAAACTGCATCAGTGCTCTCTTGGTGGTTGGCAACATTCTGAGGATGATTCTAACATTTTGGCTTGAAGGGTTCATTATATTTTAGGATGTGTGAGTCATGTGATTTTTTTTTTAAATGTAGTCAACTTGTGAAGATAAATAAATAAACTCGTTTTAGTCACATTTTTCTTGATTCGTAAATATTACAGGAGTTTATGGACGTTTCGACTAATTTGATGAAAAATAAGCCTTGGTGGGGACTGAACCAGTGTGCTTGTTTTGACTAAGACTTGATTTATATTATGCTGTAAAAGTGATGCAATTATGAGCTACTTATATTTATGTGCAGCTTCTGTATGAATATCAAACAGGTAGACCATATTTATTTGACAGCCTAAGTGTGTTCCCTGTCACCGGGAGTTGTGGCTGTGAACCACTACACCATCACACTATATATAGGTACGTGACAATGAATTTTTTTTTTTTTTCAGTGAAACCAATGTCACCAGAAAGAGCTGGACTAAAATAACAAAACGGTATTTACGTTTTGTCAATACTGTGGTGATTGCTCTGAGACTGCAAGCTCAGCTTTGCCCTCAAAATACTGCATGACAATATTCAAACTGAAAATCGAGCCGACAGAGGAGATGCTACTGCACATCATATCTAAAAAAAAAAGACGCATTTTTAAAAAGCCAAAGGTCATTTTTCTGGGAGAAGTGCAAAACAGACGTGCGCGACGTGATCACACGAAAATGGCGGAAACAAGTCAGTTGTCACATACCTACTATATACCATATATGTTAGGTTACTTCTGCATTTCCCCAGGGTTATTTGGGTTATTACACCTACTTGCTCTATGCCCAGTGTTGCTTTGGTATCTTACGACTATATTCACTGATGGTTGAGGTTGTTTTTCTTGTCTGTGAATTCGAATGATGTGCAGCACCTCAAGTCGGGAAGCTTGCTGTCTATATTCATCACACGTTAAACACTCACACCCAAAATGCAACAAATGCTGACACAGCTTTGTGGTCAAAGAATTCAAAGCATTGTTGGTCTTTCATGTGTGTTTCGGGGTGCTTTGGCACATCACCTTATATGATGATGTACACAACATGAATTCACTTTACATGATGACATATATTAGATTCATCACTTCATATTACATGATGCCATGTTAATTTAAAAACGAGCCTCTACATCTCACGTGCTACTAGTTTGAATAGGCTTTAGTTTCCACAAGCTTGAACAATCTGACTAGATGCAAATTAGTTTCGTGTAGCATAAGAAAATCACCTTTATGATTTTGGCTGTTTGCACATTCAAGTCATCGAAGCTATGTGGGTTAAACTGGACAAACAACAAAAAAATTGAATAGCATCTCACAAGCTCGGCAGAGTTGAAGGCTGGAGTGAATAACAATTCTTACCTTACCCACTTTGGTAAGTTTGAATATTATTTGTCATATGGTACATCGTAAGTATAGTATGGTTCATAAAGAAAAGGAATGGTTGTTTTTTTGTTTTTACTTATTTAAATTGGGGGTCTGCAGTAAAAGAACTTTAAACATGTAATATGGACATTTCCGGCTTTTATGATTTATTTATTAATTAAATTGCATCCACCAGTTTACTTGCTCTAAACACGGAGAGGGTGAATCCAAGGGACCATAGTCACACGGCGGCAGAGCTAAATAAATCTGCATGTCGTCTGCATAACTATGATAGGCGACATTACTGTTGTGAATGACCTGATCCAGCGGAAGCATGTACAGGTTAAATAAAAGTGGTACGAGAATTGAACCATGTGGGACTCCGCATGTCATGGTGATATAAGAGCTCTTACTTCCTGAAGAAACCTCAGTTGGGCAAAACAATGAGGACCTTTCATAGTTTTGTAACTTTTTCAAATTGGACACTTATGATACTTTGGAACAAAAGGACCTAATGGCCATTGTCCTTTTGGAAAAAAATAACTTTTAGGAGGACAAAGGGTGTTTTAACCCAAAGACAAATCCTATGTTTGGGTTAAAATTGCCACTCATGACTTACATACAAAATGACAAAATGTAAACAGGCTCCTTAGTTACAATGTATTGGAGTGACAGCTAAACCAAACCTTGGCAAGACCTTGAAAAAGAAATACTCAGGTTTCTAAGGCAACCTCAGCCAGCAGGATAAATTAGACTTGACAAATATTGAGATTAAAATGCCTTCAGATGAAGCATAAAAATCCTTAATAGTACTTGAAGCCCCTTCATCGCTGTGCTATTTTTGACACTTGTTCTGCAGCCGACTAGCTGTGCCACTAGCTTTGCATGACCATGCACCTGTTGGTTTTGTAGTGTCTGCAGTGGTCTCTCCAGCGGGGGAGAGCAGATCTAATTAAATCCTGTCTCTCCTTTCCGCCCTCTGTCTCAGTTAGACGGCTTTGTGTTGTGCTGTCAGAGCCGTAGGCAGGAAACAAGATCGATAGCAAATAGTTTAAACGAGAAGTTATAATTATATTTTGCTTGTTTTTCTCTGGAAAACTGAGCAGGTGTATGTCTTTTTTTTCTTCGACAAGGAACCATAAATAATCAGCTCTGAATTTACTAATGAGTAAGACTGAAATTGTTGAAATGAATTACAAGACCAGAATTGTTAAACTAATTTTAAAAAAACAATAATAAATGAATGTCCATGACAATGATGGCGTAGTACAAGCATTCCCAATCAGCGGACCACAGACCAAATGCGGCCCGTGAGCGCAAAGAATCTGGGCCACGAGACCAGCCCCCGTGCCGACTCAATGACGCTTTTGTCAGACTTGGGGAGTCAAATAAGTGGATAAATTGTCACAAATTGCTTCATATCAATTGCTTCCACTCTCACGGCTGTAGCTGCGATATTGTGAGCAAACCATGTGATCATTGACACTATTTGGGCCACAGGAGCTAGCGTCAGCTTTGTTATGTTGACATGTGACAAGCAAGTAACTCCGGTAAAGGAATAGCCGGAAAAGGAAGAAAATGACATGCTTTCCTAACGCAGCCACTTTAAAAGCAACTTTGAGGGAATGGATTGTAAAGCATTTGGGCCATATTCACTCAAGGATTTATTCGCTTTAAATGACATTGACAAAGAGTGATTGTAAGCTGTTAAAGTCATTTGAACATATTTTAATTGTATTTTAATCTTGCACATACATACATACATGCGCACACTGGAGCATGAAATGTCGAGCAATGTGGCTTGCTTCTCGACCCATCCGTTCAAAAATAAAGTGAAAGGTGGATTTTAAAACACCAAAACATGGCCCTGTGCGTGTTGGAAGGAATAATCGGCTGGTGCTGTATAAAATTTGTTGGTGGGGGGGAAACAACATGACACTGTGGTTTTATCCAACAAAGCAAAACGACAAACTGCGGATCAGTTTTAGATTTGAATTTTCTTGTCAAGGCATTTGTATACTGTCAGTGAAATCTGATGAGATATACAACTTATAACGTATAACTTCTGTTATGCCGAGCCTCAGTCTTTGTTGTCCTTTTATATCCTGACTTTCTCTTCTTGCTTCTCTCTTGTCCGCCCCCAGTCTAAAAAAGGTTCAAAGTAGTTTAGGCGTATCCCTCTCCATGGTAACAGCATCTCTCTCATGCTTGCACACGCACACACTCACACCTCATAATTCTGCCATACCCAGCCCTACATCACTGTACCCTCCCCCCATGTGCATTGCCTCCCCCCACACTGCCTTGCGCTCTCTCTCTCTCTCTCTCTCTCTCTCTCTCTCTCTCTCTCTCTCTCTCTCTCTCTCTCTCTCTTTCTCTCTCTCTTTCTCTCCTGCATTCCTGCAACCTCTCCTGCTCTGTCAGCTGCTCCACTGTTAATGCTGCCTTGACAAGATGTTCACCCCAGCTTGCAAAGGATCTTCAGGGGAGGCGAGGTAAGGCATTGGCTGCCGATAGCAGCAAATGGAGAGCCAACACAGTGATGTAAAAAGTAGGCGTTTTTCTACGATCAGTGTGAGAACTCTCCAGATGGAGGCAAGAGGCAGCATGAGTTGCTGGCTTTGTACGACTCCTCAGCATTTGCACCGAAGCAAGTGAAGTGGAGAGCTATTTATAGGATTCCTTGACTTCGGTGTTCTCAATATCCTTGAACTCGAAAGAAAATGTGTGCGTGTGTGTGTGTGTGTGTGTGTGTGTGTGTGTGTGTGTGTGTGTGTGTGTGTGTGTGTGTGTGTGTGTGTGTGTGTGTGTACAGTACACGTACAAGTGTGAGTGGAAGCGTGATGGCATGCAAATTGTCTTAAATGTACTGCTGCAATGTCTGGTCATAGTCACCACGTTCTGTGTCGGTTTACAACACCATATGACAAGTGTGTGTGTGTGTGTGTGTGTGTGTGTGTGTGTGTGTGTGTGTGTGTGTGTGTGTGTGTTGAGACTGGCGAGTGGGCAGCATGAAGTTAAAATTTCCGCATTTGTGCGTGGGTGGTTAAGAGCACCTTCCGATTTTCATTAAAACAACTGAAAACATTGGTCACCTCGTGAAGTTAGAGGGAAGGAAAAGAATGCTAACGATGGGCAGAATGGAAAATGTATTGCTGGTATTGGTCTTTTAAGATGAAGATTGGATTGACATAATTTGTTGGCAAGCATGATATAACTCTTACATGTCAGTTAGTGGGTAAATCCCAGTTCAATCATGAACTGTCAAGCATGTGTGGGCATATTTTTCAAGCTTGTAGAGTATGTGATGAGAGAGAGTCAAAATCAAGCCCGTGGGTGTGCATCCCCTACTGTATGCGGTACAGAAAGGAGCAGGGGGATGCAGCGAAATGTGCAGCTCTGAATCTGTGTTCGAGATAATAGCAAGCATTGTTTGAGCAGGAAACAATCCACTGGTATTTTGCAGTAATATTTGATGATTTAATGAACATGTTGATCACAATACAGTTTATCCACTGCATTTCTTTGGAAGGTAAAAAATGACTTAGGCTCGTATTGCATGACGCTGGTATTGACAAATATGCTCTAGCAATCCAGGCAAACATTTCAGAAGCAGTTTTGACTCATTCATCCATCCATATTGATATTTAAATCAAGAAACAAACAACAGATGGGCGCGGATCGGTTTGCTGGACGACAGGTGGCAGCATTGAAAAGAAAAAAAAAAAACAAAACACAGGGTGAAAAATTCCCCAAGGGCAACCATTTATTTTTTTGGGTCCATTCATCCATTTCCCCTAGCACCTATCCTGTTCAGTGTTATGGAAGCTGAAGTCCCAGCTGACGCCAGGTGAAAGGTAGACCACACCCTGGACCGGTCGTCCGCCAATCACAAGGCACGGAGACAAACAATGCTTCCCACTCATATTCACAACATCACCGAATGGGATCTGAACCAGCCTTTTTTGAAGCCGGGCCAGTGAGCCATTATGTTCACCCAGCTGGTGCATGTCAAATAAAAATGAAAAACTGAAAATAAAATCGCCTCGTGATACTGAAGGTGCAAAATCATTGATCATGTGTTGTTTGACGTGGCAGAACGGGTGAATTAGAATTAACAGTAGCCATGCCAATGGTGAACACCAGAGTTAAAAGGTTCAGTCATGCTGAAGAAGGTTGGCTTCTGAGGCAGCTGACGTACGCTTTTGCCGCTTCTGTGGTGGCTGACGCAAAAACTCAATGTGGCAGGAGTTAGTCTCGCTTGCGTCTCATTAACAACTGAGGGTGACGATGAAGTCTGTAATCAACAGATTGATGCACCATCTGAAGTGAAGCGATGACAAACGTGGTGAAAAGAACTTAACTGAAGGTCTCCCTTGTCTGGGGTCATGAATTTGGGAGAGCTCACCCGAAAATTGGACCTTTCAAGAGGAACCCAGATTAGATTCGCTGCTCCTCCACATTGAGTGGAGCTAGTTGAGATGACATTGTTAGACTTTTTTTTTTTTAATCTTTCCCGATCCCTCTCTGTTGAAGTGTATACGTCCAATCAAAATGATGCTCAGACCCTCAGCGGTCCAGACACATGGGGGAGTCTTTTTGTTCCGCGTGCCGACCCTGTAACCTGAATAAGTGGAGGAGAATGAGTGGATACAATGAATCTATTTTTGTTGTTGCCTTGAATATTTATGGACGATTAAATGGTTATACTGCAAATTAAAATATTACCTTGAGAGAAAAAAAAAGTGAACTTAGTCAGAGCAACACTTCACTCAAGAGCTCACTTGAAGCTCTTGGGCGCTGGAACGCCAGGCGCTGTCTGCAAATCTGCCATGCTGTGCGCTTGATTTCAACTCAAAATAGAAAAATCTACAACGTGTTGACTTTTAT